AGAAAATGAAAAAATATGTCTGTTTCTTAAGAAGGAAGAAATAACACTTAAACAGCTTAAACAGTTTTACTTCAGAGGATTTTTGCCTAAATTGAGGTCCACATGAAGAGCATAATGATGCTATGGTCCAGCAGGTTGATCTGCTCCACATACAATTGCTGGAAAATATGATTTTGCAATAAATGAGCGTATTGGAACTAGATAATCTCAAGAATTTATATTTATTTATAACGGATGTGAGAAGTAGGCATGCTCCTTCTTGACATTTCATTAAGAAATATTGAGGCATATTCAGACTCCCTCAACCAGTCACCTTGTTTTAAGATTTAAAAATAGAGGGCTGCTTCTCTTGAACTAGGCATTTCCAAGAGATGCAGTGATTGAACAAGCACCTCTTTGAAGTTTGACAGTCCTGTTTAACAGTTCAGCTGAAGAATCCAAAGAAGTAAAAAGATGGATAGACATGAAATGCAGGAACATAGAAAACTGACTTGGAGATGGTCAAGAATCAAAACTTGAAAATACTTTAAAGTAATAAATATTTTCATCAAACATTTTAGCTGGAAGTTTTTTTTACAATATTGTCTATTAAATTGGGTGGATTTCTAAATTCACCCAAGAGCAATCCATATATAGTACAATACTGGATAGGGTAAATTCTCCAATTACGTTTATTTTGGGAATAAAGTCTACCTATCTCTCATAGTAGATAGAAAGGATTGCTTACTTTACTGCATAGCTGAATAATGGAATCTATTTATTGAACATCTTATTTTCTTACTTTTCATCTGGAATATTTTCTGTCTCCTCTCTACAATTAGTTTTTCTAGGTAAAACATTGTGTTTTGAACAAGATTTAAACAATTTTTAAATCTGTCTGGGGCTACCATGCTATGTCAAATTTCATGCCCAAATCACAATAGTAGATTAAAAACTGCTGCTAGTATAATAGTTATATATGAGGCAACTCTGTTGTTTGTTTGAAAAGCATATTTGTTTAGATAGTGTTTTTAATGTGTCTGAAATGGCTGCATATTCTTTCATTATCTAGAAGCAAAACTGAAGCAAATGACTGAAGGGATTAAATAATCATCTAGGACTGGATGATTGGACACTTCATTGTACAGTCACTTGATGGCAACTTGAATTAGGACTACAAGGCAATTGGCTGGGTTAATGCAAATAAACATATGAGTCCCAAAGTGCTAAAAATTAATTGGATACTTTTAGGATAAGAATCAGATTTCCCTGAAGCAAGGCAGTTTATTGGCAACAGGAATATGTGGGTGAGTGTCCATATTTAATACCATCTGATTTGTCTACTAGCAAACATAACGCCTCCTTTCACTTCAGCAGTGAAATCAAATCAGGTCATTTTTATTTTTTTAATGATTGCCTTTGTTTTTGTTTTGTTTTTTAAAATTAGACCCCTAAAGCTTATGAAAACCATCCCATAGCTGTCATACAAGAATATTGCAGTAGGCCAGGTGTTTTGCTCTCTGTGGTTTCAGATATCCTTGAATATACGTTCTACAGTACAGACATCTAGACATCAAATAGGCCTATAGGTATCCTTTTATATACAGCTGTAACTCTATTGTACATTAAAAAACCTACATAATACTTTTTAATCCCATGCTGCTCCCCTTCCCCCCTTCTCTCTCTTGATCCCTATTGGTGTATTGGCCTCTTTATATGCCTCACAAACTACTTTTATTAGAAAACAGTCTTTTTATTAAGAGACTTGTGAAAAATAATTTCTTTCTGATTCTTGACAGAAACTGCTAATTTATTAATCGTTTCAATAGTAGCTCTGTATCTCTTTCTTTCCATCCACCCTACTTCAAGTGCTGTGTAAATAACCAAGTCTTTAAGGGTTCCTGGAACATCATCTGGGTGAGAATTGTATACCGAAGGCAGATGCTGCTATAGAAAAAAGTGTGTTTTTGAAAGACAACAGTCTTTAATCAAGAGACCAATAAAACATAGCCAGATTTTATTGGACAGGCAGAAATATAGAAGACAGATAGTATCACAAATATCCAGATCTTATGTTACATAGACCTTTATAAGTTTATAAATAGCAAATAGTTTATAAAATTGCATGCCTTAACAAGCTGTAGGTAACCATAAACCAAACTTAAGGGTGCCTGTAACATTGGCATGACATTTATTTATTTACTTATTTAGATTCAGAAAACCACTCAACTCTGAAATGGACTTTGGATGGCTTACATAATTAAAAAAAGAAGTACATGATTAAAAATAAAAGACTCCAAGGAAACTGTTGATCCCTGATCAGTACCTAAATTTGGCAACAGTATGCAAGGTGAAATTTTTATTTATTAGTTAAATTTATATGCTGCCTATCTCACAATCGACTGATTCTGTAATTCAGACAAGAAGGAGTTGTTGCTGGTCTATAGGTATTAGGCTCTGATACTTAACATCAGGTTTTGGTTTAGGCTTCATTAGAGGCTTCCAAATGCAATATTCATATAGCAGTTGTCTAGAATGTGCTGTGAGCTTTTCTAAACAAATTAGCATTATTTCAGTTGCGTGCTTACCTTTTTCTGCTCTGTGGTTATCCTTGTAGACTGCATATAACTTGGTGTTGATGTGGCAAGCATTCTTCTAGTCAATGTATAATAATTGGACATATATCCATATTTCAAACTCTCCACTGGTAGCTAGTTGTTTTCTTGGCTCTATGAGTTAAATAGTTCTTTTTTTAATTAAGTGATTTATGTCCTGATTTCATGCCTCAATCTGATCAACAAGGTCCTAAAATAAGCTTTTAACCTGGGCAAATATAATGTGCACAACATAATAAAAATGCTAATAAAATTCATAGTGCTGTAATGCATTATATTTTTTGTCTGCAATGATAGCCATGTGAATTGTATTCTGGTTATTAAAAAGATCAAGAAATTGCTTTGGCTGTATATAGATTATGAGAGAAGGAAGAACTATGTTTGAGTAATATAGTATTTAAGGATAAGACTATAAAAATTAATGAACAGATTCATCAAAATATTTGGTTACAAAATTCAACAACTGTCTTTCACCCCAATCTTTTCCCCCCCCTCTTTGTTCAGGGTCTTGCTTGATGCAATTATGTGATGTTTTGGGAGATACAATCATAGAATAAAGCAAAGGAAGACTGCATTCAAGAATACTTTCTTTAGTCTTGACTTTTCTCTCTGACATGAATCATACTGGCTTTTAAAATTATTTTATCAGTCCTTAATTGTTTATGGGCTTTTTTTTATAGATGGCTGTCTTGAATGCCCTCTGGGTAGAAAGGCAGAATGTAAGGAATAATAATAATAATAATATGTAGTGTGATTGAACTGTTGGTTGAGGACTTAACTGCTGACATCTGTCTGCAAATGATGTGACAGGATCCTGGAGAAACCTTATAACTACCCTAATGGTACCACAAATTTGTCAATCAAATGCATATAATAATATCAAACTGTCTTAGATTGAGATTTAATTGAGAAATGATTGTTCTCTCTTGGTAGGTCTTGCTGTATCGAAGTCCCCTCATAAAAGGGCTTTCTTCAGAATTTTTCTGTTAGCCTCCAAGCAACAAAATTGCAGTGTGGCTTTTTTCATTAATAATGAAGAAAATCAATGCAGCAGTTTTCTCCCTTAGGTAAAAGATAAATAGAAAGCAGAAAGGGGGGGGGGAAGGTAGGACGAAAGAAATACCCATCTCTCTGTTGCTAGAACAGCATCCTTTCGCATAGCACATCATTTTTCCCAGTGAGTATATTGAGACAACTTCACATAAACTGTAGTTCTTGAGCCGTAGGCAGAACATAGTATTTAAAAGCAAATGGTTCAGACTCCATAGTTTAGGATACAAAGCTGCTTCTCCCCATTCCCTTTAAATCTGTGTAAGTCAACACATTCAAATTGCTCCCCTTCACACATTTTTTATTTATGAAATTACTTCAAGAATCTAACCATGATTCCCCCCCTCCTAATCAAGCTATATTAGTCTGTGCCATGGCCCCAATTGATAAATTGTGTGAAATGGTTATGATTAAAAATGAAGAACCACCTTTGACACCCTCTTCTTGGCAAGCCTGAGGTTGAAATAAAGCCCAGAGGGAGAAGGAGGGAAAGAGTTTAGTGAGAAGAGTATTCATTTGGTGGAAAGTTTCAGGCAGCATTTCTTTTTATTTCCTCAAGGCAAGAAGATTGATAATATACATTAGTACAGCTAAATTGTAGCTATTTGTATATTTCCCATGTCAACATGCTTACCATTATAAAGTGATCAGAGGTTACCTTACTGTTTGATGCATCAAACTGATGCGTCTCTCTCTCTCTCTCTCTTTCTCTCTCTCTCTCTCTCCCCGACTTCAGTATTTTTTTTTCTCTGTCTGTCTGTCTTCCTCCCCGCCTCCATGTTTGTTTTTTTGTTTTTTTGTTTGCGTGTGTGTGTTGGAAAAAGCAGTTTATTTCAGTTTTTTAAAAGGAAATCCTAGATGACTGGAATTCTTTTCAGCTATTCTGATCAGTTATTTCAAGCAGAGTATGGTTTTGCAATGCCTTTTATTGTGGGTGTTCCCACCCGCCTGGACATCATCACGGATGCTCTGCGCATACGCAGAAGGTTCTGTGCATGCACAGAAACGCCATGTGTGTTCTGCCCCAGCTCCGGATTTCCGAGGATATTGACACACAACAACAGTCCTTATCAAATATATTAAGTAGCAAGAATAAACAAGACCGGCCAAGGTTGGCAACCAGCCCAGAAAACAAGATATGATAAACCAAAATACTCTGATAATAAATACGAGTTGTTTCTGGCAAGAAACTTACTAATGGTATGTGACTTAAATAGGCTAAGGGAGTGGCCAATTATCCTCAAGCCCTACTCTCAAAGAGACCTCCTCCTCCTGAGTAGCCACTCCTTCCTTTTGGCAGCCCTGCGTGCTCGAGCATTGAGGAGAGGCTCCTCCACTTCGCCATCTCCACTTGAAGGAGCCTCTGGAGGTTCTAAAGGCTCTGGCTGAGTCTCTGCCTCTGGCATCCTTTTCAGCCTCCTTGCTGTCCGACGTGAGCGCTGGCTACGCAGGTTGCTGGCGTGACACCACACCAGCCTCCTCTTCATCGGGATCAGCCATGATCCGTGCAGGCCGCTGGCGGGCCACAACAACATGCGAGCGCTCACAGTTCCTAACCGGTAGCGAAGGTAAGTGGAACCCACTACTGGGGTGTGCATAGTGGTTGTGCATTTATGCACTATGTATTCCTGAAATGACAGCATTTTCAGATCAATTGCTTTTACAGATAGGCTGCATAAGTGTATAATGTCTATATGTATAAGTGTGTGACTAAATGTTAGTATCTGGAAGAGCTGAAAGTTTACAAAGGCAGTCGTCAACTTTCAGCCATTCATTTAGTGACCATTCACGTGATATAATGGCATGACAACGTGACTTATGACTGTGTTTCAAACTTACGACTGTTGCAGCATTCCCATGGCGTCATCATCAAAATTTGGATTTTTGGCAACTGACTCACATTTATGACAGTTGCAGGGTTCCAGGGTCATATGATCACCTTTTGTGACCTTCTGACAAACAAAGTCAACAGGAGGCCAGATTCACTTAATAACAATGTTACTAACTTAACTGCAGTGTTTCACTTAACAATTGTGGGAATAAAAGTTTTAAAATGGGGCAAAAACATTTAACAGCTCTCTCACTTAGCAACAGAAATTTTGGACTCAGTTGTGGTTGTACTTTGAGGACTACCTGTACATTGCTGTTTACTGGATTAAAAACAATGTGTCAGGATTCCCTCCTTCGTATCCTCAGCTCCAGTGTGGCAACACAGAAGCACCAAGATGGCTTCAGTCAGGTCAGTTTCCAGGTTGACACAACGTGATAGACAAAAATTGAAACAATGATTGAATTATTTATTGAAGAAAAAGTAGAAAGCATGCTTTGTACAAGTTATTTTTACAGATTTATTTACTTATTTTGTTACAGCCAAGTTCTTTAACCAATCACTGCCAGGTTAGATGCAGTGTTAGGCTAATTTGTCAATAGTATATTTTGTCTCCTTCATAAATGTCACTTTCATTGACCTTATTTGTACAATACTGCAGCCCATTGGGCTGCTTCAGTTGCTTGTCAGAGTCTTTACTCTGAAATTTTTCTATCTGAAATAGAATGGTTCCATTTGGCAAAACCTCTTCTTCCATTGCAAAACATACAAAATGATACGATATATGTTCACATTTGCAAAACAAAGAAAAACCATTCTCATTATCAGTGGTAGTAGTAGCATCCTCAAAGTCAAAATTAAAGCCACAAAAAGATAAGTAACAGTAACCAAGTAACCCCAATATGCTTCAAATAAGCAACTGATTTGGTTTCAACTAACAATGTGAACCCCAATAGGAACGCTATTGTGACTTCCTGATACATAAACACAGCCTTTATGTATCTGTAAGGACAAAATAATATAGATAATACCATGACCATGCAAAAAAGGAAAATAAGCATAAGCAATTATATTGTATACAGTATCGTTTTGCAAGTAAAAAGAGTTAATAAATGGTGTGTGTAAAGATAAATTAGTGATGAAGAATTTCAAAATAACATTTTGAAATACAATAAAGTATATAATAAACAGGAAACTTGAAAAATTGGGCAAACAGAAACACAAAGAAGATAAAAATTAGTTATTAAATTAATTATTAAATTAATAACTACTTAAAAAGAGAATTGATAGTATATTGAGATGTAAGTACAGCAGTATTAAGAAACATTTCCTTTTTTTACTCCTCCATTCTTACTCTTGCCATTCATCCAAAAATATGTGACTGGAACAACTTATTGCAGGAGCTACTCTGATTATAGAGAGCGAATCACTAATTTATGAATCCAATGCTTCAATGTCCCTCCCAAACATTACATGATTGTTACAAATATTATTAAAAATAATTGTTTTTGGCTCATGGTGTTGCTTTTTCCAACACATTGCTCTCCTGATTTACAGAGCTCTGTGGATCATTTTGAACTGGAGACGATGCATGCAAGAGACACTTGTAGCCTGAATCATTTAAAATACATTCTCAATTGTGCAATATCCCTACCATAAATTCAACATGGCATATTGATTATAGAGTACAAAATTATGTAATGCATAATTCCAGAATTCACATAGAACAATATTTTTGTAGACTGTCCTTCGAATATACCAGTTTCTTACTGCACTTACGACTGGCATCAGTTTTGCCATGATTAGCTAAGAGATATAAATGTACACGTATACATATGTATACATGTACACATATGTATATCTATACATGTATACACAGAGTATATGAAGCTTTAAACTAGTATAGTGTCTTTATTCTTACATATATAAACATATAGGTATGTATCTATGTATGTAATTGCTCACTCCAGTTGACTTTGAGGGATTTACAAAACCTACAGAAACAATAAAATAATTAAAAACCTAAAACACAGCCTGGCCCATAACAGCAACAATAAACTGTAACAGCATTAACCCTAGGCCTGGGAACAGAGTCAAGTTTTAAGGGATTTTTGAAACCCAAGGAGAACAAAGACTGTATCTTGTCAGGTGGGTGGGTTGGTGGGATGCTGTTTTAGAGGAGGCACGTCAACTGTGGCAGAACTACTAGGCAGATGGAAATTAATGGGGATAGGCAGTTCTTCAGATAAGCATATTCTATACCACAAAGACATCTAAGAACATCAATTTGTTTAATTGTTACGTATTAATATGCAAGCCAAAGTGGATAATTCTATCACTGAATGCATTGTCGAATGTGCTTTAGTATTGATATTTACATTAAATCTGTTTGTATTTTATTTTAGTAATAGTTAATTTGCAGTTGGTGTGAGTATCATATATTTTGTAGCTTTTGATAGAACAAAGATATTTCTGACTTGAAAGTTGAAAACTGAGATCCGAGTGTCTCCATGTGTGGGGGCTCTTCTTAAACTGGAGTTTATTTCACTCAACAATAGAAGCAGTGGAAAAATATAACAGTGCAGGCTTTATGCTTTTTTATTATTTATAGTGAGACTATTTAGAACAAATATATATAACAAAGTCCTGGTTTTTACCTGTTGTCAATCTTCCTCCTAGAGACTATATTTCCCTTTGACTCTTCTGCTAGCTGCTTTGTTTTTGTTTCCCTTTTACTTCAATTCCCTCCCCTATTTGGGAGCTTAACAAGATACAGAATGAAAGGAAAGAATGGGCTGAAATTTTACTGAAAAGGGGTCAGCATGACTTATCCCTTTCCTGGATCTGCTCAGCTGAATATCTGCTGCTTCTCTATTGATGGAAGAACCTCTCTCAGGATCTTCTGCCTAGTCATTCCCCATTATCAGGGCTTCATCATTGATAGCTGATCTCCACCTTCCCTCTTGGGGATGAAGCCAGCCAAGGTCTTCCTTTTGATTTTTAGAACTCTTCTCCCTCTGAGTCTTCACTTCTTCCTGGTAAGCCAACCCTAGTCTTTTTTGTTTCTTTCTGACCAGAAATTAACAACTGCTTCACAACAGTTCTTTTTCTAACTTTCATCTGTAGTCACTCCATTCACTCTGTTCTGTACAAACTCCTCTCCTCTCCTTCTCCTTCTCCTTCTCCTTCTCCTTCTCCTTCTCCTTCTCCTTCTCCTTCTCGTCTCGTCTCCTCTCCTCTCCTCTCCTCTCTCTCCTCTCTTCTCCACTCTTCTGTTTTCTCTTCAATTGTTAATCAGATTGAAGAATGTCCCTCCACAACTGAAGTGTATGTCCTCTGAGAACTCTATCCCTTAACATTATTTTGTGGTTGGATTAATTGGGCTGCTATCTCAACATCTCTCACATCAGCCCTGATAGAGTCAGGTCAGTTCATCAGACCTCATAATAGAACATCTGCCCTACAAGACTATAATTAAGCTGCTCTTCCCTTTTCTCTCCCTATTTGCTGACTAATACCAGCAGGAGAGCAACCATGCCAGGCCACTAAAACCTCATGTGTCACATTCATTATGCATGAAACAGTATATGTACTTAAATATATGAGTAGAGTTTAATTAATCCTTTCACCTCACACTCTTTCAAAAGCTCTAACATTTTGGATTCAATCTCCAAAAAGTACTGGAATGCACACAAATTTTGGCAAATTCTGTCTGTGGCAATCTGAAGCAACTGCATAGTTTCCTTGGATTTCAGATATGCCCTTTGACGAAGCTGCATATCTCAGGAAATTACACATGGATTTTAAGGTATTGTAGTCGGGTCCTTGTTAGTGCTCAGGACGCTCCCAATCACTTTCTGGAGTTCAAACCCAAAGTGGTTGTGCCCCCTTCCTTAAATATGTAATCTGATCACAGTTGATCAGAATCCTAAGTATTCCTAAGTAAAGTTCTCATTTGCAGAAAAGATCTAATTTGGGAGCAAGAGGGAGGGAATCCAGCCTTCTATTTATGACAACTAACATATGGACATTTATGATGATTAAAAATGTCTTAATTGCTATACTGGACAATAAATATTTTTAATGTGGATATATTGTACATACATATCCAATGTGTGTGTGTGTGTGTGTGTGTGTGTGTGTGTGTGTTCCAAAGTAAGCTCCCACATCTATATCCTGACACGTGTGTGTGTGTGTGTGTGTGTGTGTGTGTATACACACACATATACATACACACGTCAGGATATAGATGTGGGAGCTTACTTTGGAACACACACACATCACCACTATGTGTAGCAAATAAACACTATGCTTTAAAAATGTGCCCAAAAAACAGTGTAAAACCAGAAAAAAATGCCACAATGATCAAGGTTGCTTGTAACTAATAAGCTTCTTGCCTTTAATTTCTTCCAGGATTATTTTAATTAAAACTACTTAAATGGGAGGATGGTGTATAGTAAAGCAATGTCTCAGCCTACAGTGCTGTTTTCTTTTCAAGGCCCTCTCCAGATCTCACAAAACCTCTACAGACATTCTTGGAAAATTAAATGAATTTTAATTTTATGAAGCGTAAGTGCTTTGCTTGGAAATGTTCCTACTACCTAAAAAAAGGAAGATACTATCTTAAATACCATCACTGTATTTATAAAATACTTTACCATCTGCACAAAACAAATCAAGCAAAACAAAAATAATTCAATTCTTCTCACAGTAGGCTTTATCTTGTTATACACAGAGTAAGAGGACTAGTCTGGCTGGCTTTTTTAAAAAAAATATTCTATTGAAAAAGTATTTTGCACCTACCGTATTTTCTGGCGTATAAGACGACTTTTTAACACATGAAAATCTTCTCAAAAGTCAGGGGTCGTCTTATACACCGGGTGTCGTTCTCCTGTAACCAGGCAGACCAGCCCGAAAGACTCTTGACAAGCCTTAAATGGCTCTGGCGATCCAAGCTCTGACGATCCCAGCTTTGCCTGCTAATCAGGCAACTCAGCTGGGATGCCAGAGCCATGTAAAAGGAAAAAACTTTTTTCCTTTTACGTGGCTCTGCAAGCTCTGACGATCCCAGCTGAGTTGCCTGCCAATCAGGCAACGCAGCTGGGATCGCCAGAGCCCTGTAAAAGAAAAAAAGTTTTCCACCTCCAGCTTGCTTACCTTAGCTGCTAATCGCAACACTTGCCTTGCTTCGCTTGCCTGAATCCATTCCATCAGCAAGCCACTCCCTCCTGCAATCAAGCAGGCAGGAGTTGTGGACTTCAACTCCCAGAATTCCTCAGCCAGCAAAACAAAGCTGGCTGAGGAATTCTGGGAGTTGAAGTCTACAAGTCTTAAAGTTGCCAAGGTTGGAGACCCCTGTTCTATTGGGTAAGTTTTTTTCCCCTTTGGGATCTTTAAAAAAAAAGTTAATT